CATAATTTGCATCTGCGACATTAAATTCACACGAGCTATCGCTGACTGAATCATCTGTGGATTTATCATCACCAGAGTTATCCTTATCAATGTTGACATTTGGAGTAGAACTGAATGTTGCAGCATTGTGTATAGGCATATCGATTATGGATGAAGACGTGGAATTATGATTCTCAATGGCAAAATAGTTGAAAGTTTGACACTCATGAATTGAATAACACTGACATTAAACTGTTTTTTAGATTTCTGAACATAACTACTCGGTTGTGCATGAATGTTCATGTTTTTTTCATTAGACCACGAGGAAGATAAATCGGAAAGTGGTGTTTCGAACTGAGTAAATGATGGAGTATTGTCACTTTCAATGTTGACATTTGGAGTAGAACTGAATGTTGAAATATCTTGTATGAGCACATTAATTGTGGATGAAGACATGAAATTTTGATTCTCATTGGCAAAATAATCAAAGAGTTTGATACTCATGGATTGAATAACACCCACATTAATTGCTTTTTAGATTTGTGAACCGAACTACTTGTTTGTGCATGAATGTTCATGTTTCTTTGATTAGACCATGAGGAAGTTATATCGGAAAGTGGTGTTTTGAACTGCGAAAATGGTGGAGTATTGTCCCGGAAACGACCTGCACTATAATTTCTAAAGTTCTCGTCAAGATTGTAAGATTGTGGCATTTTACCTTGTAAAATATTTTTCCTCTTCTGTCGTGCTGAGGCTGCAAGTTGTTTTGCAGAACCGACTTTAAAACTCTTCATTGTATTTGAGTTGCCTAATGCATATCCTGGTGACTGGATAATAATAGTTATTTCATTAAGGAGTGCTGAAGTTACATCAAATAGTGGTGTTCTGATATCTACATTGGATAAAGCATAGTACCTTTGAGAGCCTTCATCGTGGTTGATACCGTTTGCATTAATTATGAGTTTTTTTTATCTTCTTTCTTTAAGAATTTGCTTCCTTTGACACCGTGCCAATGTTGCAACTTGTTTTCTGGACAAACAACTTGGTTCCATTTTTAAGAGCATATTGAATACATGGTATTAGTCTACTAAATTCCTATTTAACTTTGTTTGTATGATAATCATTAACTTAGAAGCAATTTTCAGCAGCATAGATGTTCAAGACTGTTGTTCTTACACAGTTTGAATTAACTTTTATGAGCAAACTGTATTTGTATCCTTTTTCTTGCTCACGTGGAAATCATTGTTGTTGTTAATATATGAGCTACATGACAACTCTATTATAACATAGTATATACAAATTATATTAAGCATTACTAAGATTATATTTAAAAAATTAAAAAATTATTTATTTATAAATTTTATAATTATGCATACTCAAGTGCTATTAAGACCATATAGGAAGGTTAAAGGTTCCAAATGGCAATGTAATGCATCATGAATTTAAAAACAAATTAATAGGCAGTAATTATTGTATAACCGCATGTATAATATGAAGCAACCTCACATCGGAAACTGTAGACAAATCATCATAATGAATGTAAATAGTAATAAGTAAGGCATGCATAGGAAAAAGGCTGACACGTTTTTTATAGCCATGCCTTTTTGATTGTCTCAAGATTTACTTATTATATGTCACTATTTGGTCAAATCAACAACATTACTTTAACTGATATTGTAAACAACATATCAACTATTCTTTGCAAATACAAGACATTTATAGTGCTTTAAATATTACCCTCAAATAATTGTGTAACCCTTAAGTTTCTGCGAAATGTCTTCTTTTACTTCAACTTCAAACGGGTAAACGAATATCCTTCATTACTTAGTGTCAATTCCTTCTGTTTTAGGTTTGCCATTTATTGTTGATCTAACTCTGCATACATAAAATGATACATGAATTACATTACATGTATTTGACTATGGACAATGATGAAGTTAACGAAAAAACCAACAGAAAATGCTTAAGTGGAAAAGCTGTTTTCGGAAATCAACATGACCCAGTCTAACCGTCAGACTGATGAGGTGGTGAATCAAGACGTTGTAGGCCATCCTGCTACTGTGATGAAGGAAATCAAAGTGGAGGTTGATGTTGGCCAATCTTCACATGCTCCAGTCTGAGGGCTTGTGAAAGACATCTTTTGGGATAAGGAGATCACCCGTTCACAGAAGCTTGGAAATCAAGTCCTGGTAAGATTAATACTACCTATATTAAAAAAAACATAATCATTTGGTTTAGTTTTTTTGCTATTGTATTGTAATGTTAAATTTTTTACGACAACAAACGATTATGCAACAATTCCCTCAAAAGGTTATAAAGAAGGCCTTAAGACCCGACATCACTGAATTAACCATGTTGGACCTTAACACATTGGATTTTTATAATTGTAAGATAATGAAATAAAAAAGAGAATATCAGGAGATGCATTTTGGAGATGGTTGGTACTCATACACGAAGAAGAAGAAACTCATGGTGGGAGACAAGGTCTTATTTCACTATAATTCTGATAAGGAAATGTTGTATTTGAGACTGTACCGATGTCACCCACAGAATATTATTTGAAGGAAATGACTCGTCGTCAAGTTAATATAGTATAATGGTGATTTTGTAGTTGGTTTAATCTAAGTAATTGTTATAGATCAATGGTGCTTTGGTGCAAGTTAATAGGTTGCAGTGTCAATGATGTTTATGCAGTTGTGTTTTGAGGGTTTAGTTTGCTGTTGCATTTTGGTCTTAGCTATGTAATGCCACTGTCATACCCCAAATTTGTCCTACTTCGGTATTTAATGGAGGTTTGACTACTTCACGACTTCTGGCCATGATTCTCTAAGACTTCGTTTATAAAGACTTTGTATGTACTCATTATGGTTATAATTCCTAGCAATTTATGTGGGAAGAGCGTGCCTCCAACCCCTTATACCCAAACTCATGGGTGTCCTCGTTTTCACGATCAGACAGATATGATATGGTCAATGGCATAAAATACATGATTGGATCTATCTTGCAACGTGATTGTTGGTTTTCAAGAAATTTAAATCCTATTTCAATTTGATTACAAACCTCTCTAAAGGTCGTTTAAGCTTCACTATAAGTAGCTTATTACGATATGCACCTGATCCAAGTTGTTCAAAGGTACTTGCTGCTAGACACGGTCGATTTAACCTCAAGCTTTCTTCAAATTGAATGTAAACGTCAAGCTATGTTTGGATTCTAAATTAGTTTGTGACAAACTTAGATTTAGCTTACAAGTTTCAAGTCATAATTGAATCTAGATGCAATTAGTCCAGAAGATGTTTTGATTCATCTCAAGACATTATCAAGTGGTTTCAAGTTGATTCTAAACCATATTTCAGGTGGATGCCAAGGCCACGGGGTCAAATGAACCAAGCTTTGTCTTGTCAAAGTTATTTCCAATCTTGATTTAAAACAGGCCACGATTAAGATTGCTTCAATCTCCAAGCTTTGTTTGGTTTAGGACCAAGTGGAAACAAATTTTGACTTAATTTGTTGATTTTCAAAATTGGCAATGTGTCTCAAACTATGTTTGAATTTGTTTTAAAATCCCAAGTTATAATCAAATTTGTTTTTGGTTAGGTCCAATTGGTCCATAAGCCATGATTTAATTTGTTGATACTAAAGCCAGGATGTAACTGCTAGTCAAGTTGCCTTGTTTTGAGCCATCTTCAAATTATAAATTCATGATTGGGCAGATTAGTGCAGTACTTGGATTATTTTCTAAGGCATGGGAACTTTTCATTTTAAACCAGGTGGTGCAAAAGCTTTGAGGATAGAATATGATTTAACCAAATATCCTTTTCAAGTAATGGCGAGAGGCCGAGTCATTATTCGGCGTGGCTTAAACCATATGGCAATGCCTAAAGACAACATCCATTTTTTTTAGAGATACAAGCCGTGAGAGAAAGGTTTGTTAGGATCATATACCAATCATTTTTGGAACACAGAGCAGAGGATTTTAAGCAGGATTACCAACCAAGGACGGTGAGACACGCAAACATGAATTCAAAACTGCTCATACATGCCAAATTATGGATGAAATACTTAGAATGGTAAAAAGTTGGAGAGACTATTTCAAATAAAGTCCTTACACCACTCCAAAGTTCTTATCACCTTACAGTTAACTTTCAGCATAAATAATAACAGTACATAGTTGCAAGCAAACAGGAGCTCTGTCATAAAACGCGAAGCCTAATCCTACAAGTGACTACCGGCTGCCATCATGCCAAAATTTTCATAGAACTTCAACAACCTATTCCAACATCTCATCTGCAGCTTCAATTGGATGCATCTCGTCAGTCGATGACGGTCCCGCCCTTCTACTTCTTCGCCAGCATGTATTGCATCTCATTTCAGCAGTCAGATACTACTTATACATGTCCAAGGGTTGACAATACCTGCAAGACAAACCCATGCATCACGATACTATATAGATCAATGCAACTACTGGAATTTCTCAAAGGGAGAAAAGAGCTAGCATAATAATCAATACAATACTTTTTATGTGAAAGCAGCCAACTGCTTCTGCCTAACAAATAAGTACCTAAATCAAAATATATGGACTGTATGCTACAGATCAGTCAAGCAACAGGACAGCATAGAGTTAACAGGTACAAAAGATACTTAACAAGTATGAGAAAAATAGCCTGTACCATTTGCCCAAAAATTTCCCAACGCGGAACCTTTATCACTACGTCTACTAGAAAGGTCGCTTGCCTTTGATCCAAAAGACCAGCCTACTGCTGAAGAGGCATTAGCTCATCCTTACTCTAATGGACTGGCAAAAATTGAAAGGGAACCATCCTGCCAGACAATTACACAAATGGAATTTGAATTTGAAAAGAGAAAGTAACAGAGAAAGCATTCGAGAACGGCAACACACACATAGAAGGAGATGAAGGTGCAAATTTGAGAACATAGTTTAGGATAGTGGAGTACCTGAAACTTAAACTTCCTAGTTGTTGTTTTCATTGTGCATCTTTCAGATTGACTGATAATCTTTGGCTTCACACTACCAAGCTTTCCAGCTTTCCACTTCGTCTTCGAGTCACCATCATAACCTACGAAAATCAAGAACAAATAAAATACAACAGCTCATGAGTTCCACTAGTTCTTCATCCATCTTCAGTGAAATCTATGTTACCTCATGTTTCCACCACCTGCAAAACTAGTGAATTCATGTCAGGCGCAGAACAATTGCAGCAGATTTAGAGAAGCAGATAAGAAGCATTTATCAAGCATGAAGTTCAAAGGCAATGTATAAGTAGAAGAGTGCACTACCATGATAACAAAGCCAACAATTACCACGGCTTTAAATATCCCAACATCATCCTCAACAGCTTGGCGATAACTGCTCACATGAAAATTCCTCTTGAAGGCCATGACAGTAATGATAGATGAACTCCAAAGAAAAACAGAAGTATGTTGTTGAGACATGTTGTTCTCGACGCCCACATCGCACATGACTTAGCAGCCATTAAAGCTATCATTTCATTCTCCTCACGATGGGATGAAATAAGCACATGAAAAATGATACAGTCATCGTTAGTTCACAACTCAGAATTAAACACAAAGCCAAGGAATCATAGAGCATTTTTTGTGATAAGCATAAATCTAGTATACATAGTATTTTGATTAAGGATTCTAAATGTCCCATAGAGCTTGACAAATGATTAAAAAAAAGCTAGGTCGCAAAACGCATACATCATTATGACAAGATCATATGTGCAAGAACTAAGGAGTAATTGCAGGGATGCCATCTAGCATTACTCATTACCTAGACTATGGTCCTCATACCCTTGCATAGCCAGCTAAGTCATGTGATTCTACACCGAGACTTTAGTGTGCTGCCAAAGCTGATTCGTACGCCAAAAGTAATATGTCCTGCAAAAAGTGAGGATACGGATCAGTAGGATTCTTTACAACTACAAAGAAGCATTTGGTAATTTTAAACTACGCATAGCAAGAAAGAAGTGTTTACGAGTAAAGTTTGCTATTTTATTTACCTTGAAAACATAGTGCTGAGGGCATTCAAACTCTTGCACTCATCCGAATGGCATTCTTGAAAGATTTTAAGAAGGTACTCATTTCTGTATGCAACAAAAAGATTATAATTTGGCCATTTCAAAAGAAAAGTGATCATATACTTGTAACCAACTTGAGAAGAGATGAATACTAGTTGAGATTATCAAGAAGTTTGCGAAACCTCTTCTCCCAAATCCGATTTTCTCCTTGTACTCAAGCTACCACCATCATCTCAAGGTCCTGCATAAGACATCAAAATTGGCACAAGTCAGAATATTATCGCAGCTATATCATTAAGTTCAGGACAGTAAAAATACCATGTTTACACAGTGAAAATTCAGGTTAAAAGATCAGATACTTTTAAAACACTACAGACAAAAACACAGGGTGAGTCACTCTCAATGGCCCCCACCAAAATCTCAGTAAAACATTCTTCCTAACGGTCTGAGGATTGTACAGATTGTGCTCACACACTTGAGAGCATATTCCTCCCAAAAATCCCTAAGTTCACACGCACCAAAAACCCTAAAATCCTCCTATAAATAGAACCAATCATTGGCTCAAAAACAGGGAGAAAAGAAAAGCCCTAGCGAAGCTCTGCGAAATTCAATCCTCACAATACCTAAAATCACTCCAAAGTTCTTTCTAAAGGTTGATAGAGCTACACATTGAAGCTCTTTCCAACTCGAACTTAGCCGCATCACTCGAATCCAGAAACAAGAGCAAGCAGGACGTGAACGAAAAAGCCAAAAGATATAAAGCACGAACCACCTACCTCGCAAATTCGCCGTCAGAATAGCTCGAAGCTGGTGAGTTCCCTTTTTCACTTGATTTTTGCTCGTCGTTGCTTGAACACCATGATTTATCTGCTTGAATATGTTATTCTATGTTTTGATTAGGCTTTGATTTATGATTTTGAGTTTGCTTGTCGGGATTGGATTTGGGGTTAGGGATTTTGCGATTTGTTTTGGGGTTAGATTTCAGAAGGGAGAACATTTTAAAGAGAAGGAAGAAGAGTATTACTTGAAAGTGGCGTAAGGAAGTGGCGTGAGGTTTCAGATTTTGTTTTTCAAGGTCTCAACAGTATCTCACCATTTATCATAGTGATTGTTTTTAAAAAAAAAACCATTTTGACTAACATGTAGGAGTTTTAAATGACTAGTTAATAATAACCTAGGGGTGACGTGTGATCTTTCTTGATACTTATCAAGATTTTTGTTCGGTGTATTATTTTGGGGATGTGTTTTAATTTTATAATATATTATAGCATTGGAAAGGCAAGTTTGGGAAGGGTAGCCGTTTTTTTTTTAAATTCTTTCTTAATCCACTCGTTGTATTGATATTGTTGGATCTATTTGGTTTTACAGTTTCCTATGTTGTATGACTGTTTTTGATCAGCTATTAAATGCTTGTGGTAGCACCCCTTGTGCGATTTTTAATCGTTAGGACTTCCTTGGACCGGGTTTAGCAATCCACCTTTTTTTTTATATCAGTTTTTTCGTTTTTGTCACAACTTTAGGGCCGTTTGGGTCTAGTTCACTGGGCTGCTTGATCAAAATCATTTAGTTTAACTAAGACTTTAATAGAATTTAATAGGGTTACTTTTTTTAGAAAATAATTTTACATTATTAATAATATTATTAGCTCTTTTATATTTTATTTATAAACTATAGTAATTAATATTTTCTTTACAATATGACTCTATTTAATTCTTTTTTTTCTTTTGTTAATTTCACAATATCTTATTTTTAGATTAGAATATTAAAAATATCTTTTTAAAATTTATATGAAAGTAGTGAAGCTTTGGAGTCTAGCACTCCTTGGGTCCTTAAGCGACCGCTCTCGAGGTGCACGCCTTGAGTTGCGGTCGTTTCGTCTTTCATCCATAAAATTACTTAATTTTGTTTAAACCTTTCAAAGTAGACAAACCCTAATCCTAGCCATATGCCTACCCTAGTTTAATCTACTTCCGCTAATATTTTCAAACCATTTTTTTCCTTAATTAAATTACGAAAGTATCGAGTTCTTGGAGTCGCGCATTCCTTGAATTCGAGAGTGACAACTATTGAGGTGTACGCCTCGGTTAGCGTGTCGCTCGAACTTTCGTTCCCAAAACACTTTTCATAATTATTTAGACAAGTATATTCACTGTCCAACAAACATATTTTATAATTAAGGGAACAAAAAAGGTATCATTGGGATCTAGCATTCCAACGATATCCCGACTAATTGGTTACGAGGCTGACGTCTCGCTTATCGAATAGTCGTCATTCCTCAAATTTTCAACCCGTCTAACCTCGTTCCTCACCTTCGTGCGATCGAGTCTAAACCCTAGTATGTCTCTAAACCATACGTAAAAATTCAAATTATTTTCTTAATTAAATTACGAAAGAACTGAGTTCTTGGAGTCTCGCACTCCTTGAATTCTTGAGTGACCACTCTTGGGGTGTACGCTTTAGGTTGTGGATTACTCGACCTTTCGTCTATAAAATACATGCCCTAACTATTTGGACAAATTCCGTCATTGTCCATTAAAATACAACTGCATAATTAATTGAATGAAAAGGTGTTGTTGGGATCTAGCATTCCAACGATACCCCGATTAATTGATTGTGAGGCCGACGTCTCGTTTATCGAGTAGTCGTCATTCTCTCTTCAAATATTCAATCCAACTCTCTTCTCTCTCCCTCGTGCGATTGAAACTTTCTCAAACACTAATTTCGAAGTTAGTCGAATGAAAAAGGTGTCGTTGGAATCTAGCATTCCAATAATATCCCGATTAATTGATTGCGAGGCTGACATCTCGTTTATCGAATAGTCGTCATTCTCCATCAAATTACCTAACCAAACTCCTCTTTCTCGCCCCGTGTGATCGGAACCATAAACCTATTCAAATATATCCTCCAACCAAAACATCCAATGCGATAAACCTAATCCCTCGCCCTTGCGCGATCCCTACAACTCAAACAACTCTTCTCAAAGAACATTGTTTATTCCCTTCTTCCGCGCATAACAAACTCGTGCTTCAGCCTCCCCTAGTGAGCAGACAAGCCAATGTTTAGCAGTTAGAATGCGACTTAAACTCTCGTTCAACCCATACCTTTTACCAAAGAACATTGTTTATTCCTTTCTTCCGCGCATAACAAACTAGCGCTTCAGCCTCCCCTAGCGAGCAGTCAAGCCAACGTTTAGCAGTTAGAATGCGACCTAAACACTCGTTCATTATTTTAAACCCTTTACCCGTAGTTAGCCGAACTACGGCTGCTCTGATTCTTCATTCCCTCTTGAATGTAAGATACGTAGGCACAAGATTGCGATGATCTTGGCGAGCACAATCCCCTCCTTTACCCATAGTCCCACGAACTACGAATGCTCTGATTTTCCACTTCTTACAAGTGAAGATACGTAGGCACAAGGGCCCCAATCCTTGGCGAGCACCCTATCTTAAAACCACCATTTCCCCCATAGGAGAAACCTTAGAAGAAAACAAGCATAGCTAACTTTACTCTCGAATCGAATCAAGAGGTTCCCGTTGAGTACAACGGACGTAGAGGGTGCTAATACCTTCCCTCTGCGTAACCGACTCCCGAACCTAGAATATTGGTTGCGATGAGCATGTTCTTATCTCTCTTAAAGGTTTTATCGATATTTTCCTATTCCATCCTTGGAATGAATAAAGTTCGGTGGCGACTCTGTTCGAACGTATTTTTCCGCGTCCATCGCGAGGATCGTATTTTTCGAGGTACGACAGATGGCGACTCTGCTGGGGATATGTATTACCCTATGCAAGAGAGAGTCAAGCCTCACTTGACTCGACTCGAGAGTACTAACCTTTTGCTTAATTGTTTTCTTTATGTTTATTTTCTCCTATTGTTTATTTCTTGTTTTCTCTTTCTATCGTATGCTGTTTATTATATCTGCCTGCTGGATTCGGGGATAGCATTGCAAGTAAAGCTCTACACCCGAGCTTTGGAAAAAGAAGAGAGGAAACATAGTTTAGAATTGGTAGTAATTAGTGTTAATCCCCAAGGACTCGCTCCTTGTGTGCCTAGCATGAAAGCTCCTCCAGAATAGACTTTTTCGTAGATCATATCGTAACGCAGCTAGCCTGTTGCACGATTTGATTCATGAAGGGTCCATGACTCTGGGAACCACTCTTAGAACTAGTTTCTATATTGGTAGTCGTGTAATGTTAGTCTCTGAGTACCCGCTCCTCATGTGCCTAGCATGAGGACTCCGCTCAGGAGAGACCCTATCGTACTCTCGTTATAATACAGCTAGCCTGTTGCATAATGTTGATGCGATTGGTGTCCGTGATCTTGGGAACCTTATCTGTCAACATAGAAGCTATCCTGTGAGTGGGTATATGGGTAAAGAAAATAGAACTTGCCTAGTGTAACCTACCGGTTAGG